CTCAGAAACACAGCCACCGTCGGTGGAAAAACAATCAGTGGAATTAAATCAAATAAAAAATAAGAAAATAACATATATAAAAACAATCTGGCTGATGTGGACGGATAATTTGAGTGGAATAAATTAAAATAATGCAAGTAATAAAATAAAAAATGACAAATTATAAAATGAAAATAAAAATCAATATGATTGGTGTGCATGGATGGAAACTACAGATAAATAAATCAAATAATAAAAATAACATGAAAATATCAAAATAAAATATCAGATATTTAAGTTATTTTGGTTACACTTTATTTTAAGGTGTCCTTGTTACAGTGTAATTATACATTTACAGAGAAATATTAATTAAATACATGTGTTTACTATATGGTTAGGGTTAGGATTTGTCTTAGGAGTACTTGCATGTAATTATGCATATTTTTTTTTATTATAATAGTAAGTACATGTAACGTGCAACAAGGACACCTTAAAATAAAGTTTGCCGTTATTTTATATTTAGTATTTTCCAAATATAAAAACATGTATGTTAAATTTGCTCAACATGACAGCAGTTGACAAAAACACAATGGCTGCGTTTCAAAACCTATTGAGCTGCCTATCTAGACAGTGTTTAGATGGGCAGCTTTAGAAAATGCAATTGATGCCCAAAATGTTGTCTTGGTAAGCATCTCTTTGTGGTTTGAGACACAGCCAGTGTTGCGCTGCTGCTGCTACTAAGTTACACACACTAAGTAGACGCTTACAAATACAGACTCGCGAAAACGTAAACATACCTTTCTGGTGTGCACTTCAGTGTTCCTCTGTAGAATCTGCTCTTGGTGAGGTTCTCTTATGAGTGCATAGCAGCAGTGTGATATTAGAGGACACCTCCACATGCTCTTCTGCTGAACAGCACACTGACCAATGACAGAGCGGCGCGACTGTGTTTACTGACCGTGTCTGACTCCACACCGAGCACATTGGTTCCTACCTTTTTATTTTAATTGTAGTACTTTTTATTTCATTTTGAATGTATTGACATTCATTTTAATAAACGTTTTATAATAATTGATTTAACACAAAAATAAAATAATAAAATAAAGTAAATCAATAAAAGGGAATAAAATATTCTTCAATACACATCGGGGGTAAAAAGTAGTTAAAATTAAGTTTTTTTGGAATATTGAACTGAATACATAATAGAAAACATGTAGAGTAAATACAAAGCAGATTAACAATTATTAAATATTATAAAAAATAGACAACTAAAAATATAAATAAAATATTCTTTACCACATCAAAACTCTGAATGATACAAGAAACGTGTGTGTGTGTGTATATATATATATATATATATATATATGTATATATGTATGTATGTATGTATGTATGTATATGTATATATACATACAATCTTTCATATGCATAAGGGAGGGAAAGTAATTAGAAACAAACTAATCATTACAGTCATTACATTAATTATTCATGAACGTTTACAAGATGAATACAAAGATGTCTTTTTTATTTATTCATTATTGAGAACATAATACAAAACATATACCTAGAGTAGTTAACAACTATTGAATCAAATAAAAGAGTCTGTCCTGAGGTATGAATTGTGAGGCCACGCCCACATCCTAGTGTGGCCTCCGCTGATTGGTCAGCGACGCACTAGAAGCAGGAACTGAGGGTCGTGGGATTTTGAAAGAAACAGTCAGCTGCTGTCATGTGCGTGGTTTTTAATGACAGGTGATGAAGAAACATGGATCAGCTTGTCAGGGCTCTGTTACTGCTCTTCTTAGTGCAGTTACCGGCTTCATTTGATGCGCCCAGTGGAGATGGTGGAGGATGGTGAGAGAAATACCATATGGATCACTGGCCGTGTCTCAAAACCAAGCGGCTCACTTTGTTTTGAAACACAGACACTGTGATTCATCTCAAATCCTGACAGCATGCAGTTGATCACCCAATTGAATAAATAAAGCTGTGTGAGCGAGATAAATTATGTTTTGTCTTTCAGGGGACTGGGTTCCAGTATTGAAGATGAAGGCGAGTGCAACATTGAGATCAGAGATGTGAACTCAATAACACACACACAGTTTATTAAAGAGTAAGAACAACAAACATACACATGTAGAGTTAGTTGATAGACATTTTAGTCACGTAAAACATGAATTTCATTGCATTTTTTTATGCTGAAAGCAACTCTTATTAAAAAGCTACTTTTAATAATAGCAATAATATAAATGGCATTACACATTATAGAATACGTAGGTAAATATTTATGCAATCCTAATGTATTTTTCATTGTATTTTACAGGTATGCTTATGCAAAACCAGTTATACTCAGAGGACTCACAGATAACACAGTAAGAGTTGTGGTTATACTGTATATCAGGTGTTTATTGCCGCAAGTTCTAGGGATGGGCAATACCACTTATTTTGTTTTCGATACGATACCGATATTTTTCAAGGCAGTGTCGTCGATATCGATACCGATTCGATACTTCTGAACTAAACTTTTAAATTATGAAATTTATCGATACTTTGGATCGATACGCCCATCCCTAGCAAGTTCTTGATTCCATTTCTAACAGTGCCGTGTTGTGATTGGTTGTTTCAGAATTTCCGTTTCCTGTGTTCCAAATCCAATCTGTTGAGAGAGTATGGAGGGAAAACGGTCCGTCTCAGCACAGCCAATACACACTCATACAGGAAAGGTGCATGCATGTGCACATTTTGACATATTTGCGCAGTCTTTTAATGTGCATGGTCAATAAAATGATACTGACCCCAGACCTTTCAACGTTAGTGTAAGTGTTCATGTTTCTCTATTGCTCTGTCTTTTAACAGTGGATGTGCAGTTTGAAGAGTTTTTGAAGTTCCTGTTGACCCCTCAGCCTGAAGACACACTGGGCAGTGGTCAGCTCTCTCTCTCTCTCTCACACACACACACACACACACACACACCAAATCAGCTCATTCTACAAGCTTTCCCCACTGTACATGATTATTTTATAATGTGTGCGCATTTTTATTTTAGATACGCTGTACTTCTTTGGGGACAATAACTTCACAGAGTGGCATTCTCTGTTTGAGGAGTATAAAGCGCCACCTTTTTCTCTTCCACTCATGCTTCCTGCATATAGCTTTGGGATTGCTGGTATGTACAAATACATACTCTCCTATCCAACTACAGACCTGCCAACCTATACGCATTTTGCGTAGCGGATACGCATTTTGACCTCAAAGTACGCTGGTACGATTTGTCACTGTAACTATGCAAAAAACCTGGTGACGCCTCTGTCCACGTGCAGTATTCAAAACAAGCAACAGAAAAAGATGAAGAGTTCAACCAATCAGAGCGGTTTTTTAGGTTTTGCTTTTAAATTCCCGTGCATTTTATTTCTCTCCAAGCTGGCTCTGTTTGTGTGTCCGTGAGTCTGCGTGCCGAGATGAGAAAACTCCTGCATCTGAAAAAGCAACACACGCCGAGCATCTTCCCTTGTAATGACTAAACCTTTTGTCCAACAGCAAAAAAGAACATTATAACATTCTTTTACTGCACAACGTCAGACAAATATTTAAAATAATTTTCCTCTTGATCTGATGTGGCTTCTTACCACAGAATGACGCAGAAATAAATTCTACACTGGAATAACGGCGATTAGCAGTGGATTATAGATATAACGTTATTTAGTTATTAAAATACTCGAAGTGGTTTTAAGAACACAGATAAACATTGTCGCAGTACAGTGTTTATTATCTTTATGTTCTTTTAGAATGTCATCATTCAAAGCGTTTCTGTCTTCTTTCATTCAGTTACAGCCATTGCTGGCTGTTTTTGTCCATATTAGGGATTTCCTGTAGCGTCCTGAGTTCTATTTCTTCTATAATGTATATGTGGATTTTCTGCGCGAGGGTGCGAGAGAGGCATTACATGTGTTCATAGCACTAAATAATGGCCAATCCATAAAAATACTTATTTTTTTAAATAGCATTTCAAAATAGTAAAAAAGAACTAAACCAAAAACTGTGATAAAATAAAAAAACAGGTATTTTTTGAACCGTGGGCTAACTGTATTGTTGCATCCCTACTTGTTACTCTAAAATACTGTATAACCGGAATACCACAAACTGAGTGCAGACCCTGATTATTAACCTATAAAAAATATTTAACATTAAATCTTGCAAACCGAGGTTGGCAGGTCTGCAGCTAAATTAGTTTTTTTTTGGAGTGCACACACTTTCACCCATTAAAGGAATAGTATAATGTATTCATCATTAGGTCATCTAAGATGTAGTTGTAATGTTTGTTTCTTCATCAGAACAGATCTGGAGAAATTCAGCATCACACCACTTGCTCAGCAATGGATCCTCAGCAGTGAATGGGTGCCGTCAGAATGAGAGTCCAAACAGCCGATAAAAACATCACAATAATCCACACCACTCCAGTCCATCAGTTAATGTCTTGAGGAGCAAAAAGCTGTGCCATCATTAATGTGTTTTTAACTTTAAACCATTGCATTATATTACTTTCTCCAGTGAAAAAAAAATAAGCTTGTCTGAATCAGGAGAGAAATCTGCAGATCAAGCACTGTTTACAAGCAAAAACATTTCTAAACAAATATATCGGTGGATTTTGATGTGAGAGGACAACAGACGATGGACTTTTTCACTGGAGGAAGCATTATTATGGATTATGGACACTTATTTTGGCCAGAAGCAACAGTTTACAGTTAAAACACCTTAATGATGGATTTGCTTCTTACAAACACACAGCTTTTCGCTCCTCAGGATATTAACTGATGGACTGGATTACTTGTGGATTATTGTGATGTTTTTATCAGATGTTTGGACTCTCATTCTGACGGCACCCATTCACTGCAGAGGATCCATTGATGAGCAACTGATGTAATGCTACATTTCTCCAAATCTGTTCTGAGGAAGAAACAAACTCATCTACATCCTGGATGGTCTGAGGATGAATACATTATCAGCAAATTGTCGTCTTTGGGTAAACTACATCTCTCCGCTGCAGGACCAGGTACTGGTGTCCCGTTTCACTGGCACGGTCCCGGCTACTCTGAAGTTATCTATGGCAGGAAGGTCTGTGGAATGCTAAACTCATACAAATGTATTATTTACAGCTTAAGTACAGATGTAATTTTCCCTGTCTATATACTGATGTGCTTGTGTTCTCCAGCGTTGGTTTCTTTACCCTCCTGATGATGCACCTGAGTTCCATCCCAACCACACCACTCTCTCCTGGGTCTCTCTGTCCTACCCAAACCTGGAGCTCCACCAGAGGCCCCTGGAGTGCACCATACGACCCGGAGAGGTGAGATTTAACTCATTTACACACTTAAATAGTAGGCACAAATTGTCAGAGTAATGTCAAAGTCATGTATTCCAGAGATAAAACATGTTTTTGTGCAGGTGCTGTATTTTCCAGATCGCTGGTGGCATGCAACTCTAAATCTGGACACCAGCGTCTTCATTTCAACATTTCTGGGGTGAAGACTGATATGGTGGACACACACCATGTGCATTTGACTTGAAGGACCGAACAAGGATTCGTTGTTCAGAGGACCAAATCAGAGGAGTTTGACTCGGGTTGAGCAAAACAGAAAGCCAAGCCATTCGTCCATTAACTTGAGCAATGTTTTTTAATAGAAGCTGCTTTTATTGCGAGATTGAGGTTATTGTTTAATAAAGTTGTGTTGTCGAAACATATGAATTGAATGCTTTGTTAGGTTTTATTGTTGGGGTTTTGAATGTTGAATTTTAAAGATGCATTTAATTAAACAGATAATCAATTCAAGTAAGTTGGATATCATTAATACATCCATTATATGTGCGTCTTCCTCATTCAGACTCACAAAAATACATTTTTATCAATAAAGAAACATTTTTATTATCCTGAAAAAATGATAAAACCTTAAAAATGTGAACAAATAAAAAAAAATAGAATAGAAACATTGAAATCAGTTGGTTAAACTGTCCAGTTTCACATTAGATTGGGGGCATTGAATTATGTAGGTTATTACTGAAATAACTGGACCCTTGAGATTTTTTTACTTTTGTGTTTCACATTTGAACAAGTTAGATTTGTGTTAGAAATCCATACACACACAGTATGTGATCAAAATGATTCTGGCTCTTTTTAAACACCCCAAGATACATTCTGCTACAGTACATGAGCATAAAGAGTGTCATAATAGTATTTGTATATATGGAGTAGTTTTTTATATTCGGGAATTAATCAATAGAATTCAATTTAATGAGAATAGCACATATGTTTTTACAGTAATGCGTCTTTTTGGTGATCCAAGTCCAAAGAGAGAGAAATTCTAACCAAAAAAACTCTTAAGGATCCCAGCAGAAGACAGTCCTCCAGATGATGTCACTTCCTCCAGACCTGCTGTCCAGCAATGTAGGTTTCCCTGAGTGTCAGTGTGTCATCAAGCACTACAAAATCTACAAAACAACACACATAACTGCATTTCATATCAAAAACACTTTATTGTGAACACATCATCTATCCAGTGGACACAATAATGCCTTAACCACAAATAATAAATAAAATATAAATCTTTAAAAATTCCAACTTTAACTTTTACCTTTTAAAAATTTAAATTAATTTTAAAATACATCCAAATACAAAAGAGTTATTTTAACTTCCAATAATATTAATATTTAACCGCTAATAACCCCCAAAATGTGCAGTTAGATCTTCATATATTCTAGTATATGTAGTATATTCTTCTCCAACAAAGAGGATCACATTTGATGACATAAGGAAATCACAGCAAATGTGGCATATGCTATTAACACATTAAATGTGCATGAGATTTTTTGAATATTGTGTATGAGTTTAAAGGAATAATTTAAAATAATAATAATAATAACAACCCAAAAATGAAAATTTGCTTAAAATTTACTCACCCTCAGGTCATCCAAGATGTAAATGAGTTAGTTTTTACCAAAACAGATTTTGAGAAATGTAGCATTACATCAGTTGCTCATCAATGGATCCTCTGCAGTGAATGGGTGGCGTCCGAATGAGAGGCA